GCAGAAAGTCTAAAAGACTTCATCGTTTACAAGTTTATTTTAAAGTAATTTCACAGGAATGAGCACAGACACTTCAAATGAACCAACTAGTGAACACAATGTTTTCTCTTGTGTTGGTTTTACACAACGCTGCACACCGATAAGACAATTAAACAAATGATATCTGTTTTAACAAGTGAAGACGATCAATTTGGCATAGGAGAAGTCTAAGCTTCGTGAATAAATCCATCTTTTATGACCGTGTTTTGGGATAAACTGTCAGCTCAGATCTGATTGTCCAACATCATGGGAACAAATCCCTGCAGCCAGGCTTCAAAATCCTTTAAAAAGGCATCCTGGATTAATGGACGCCGTTACGACGGCATATTAGAACTGACGGTTCAGGAACGTTGGGATTTCCAGGCATTGGTGCAGACAGTAAGGAGGGGATGAACTAGGAGGGGGAGGAACTAGTTGAGAGCATCAGTGGAGATCTGGGCCACCATGTTGTCGTTGTCTCTGCGGTTCAGAGGGACTGCCGTCATCTTTGAGGCAACCGAAGTGTTGCCGTTCTCCGACAACCAGTCAGTGCAGTGGAACATAATCAGGAAACACCTGTAGAACTGAGATGAGATATGAGGGAGACATATCACACCAGCTCAACACTGACATAACAAAAAGTGCACTTCAGATTCTCCATCAGTGGTTTGGATAAAGGGAAATCATTGGTCTACACACATTCAACCTAGGACTGGTTCTCAGTTGTTTTTTTCGTAGTACATATATTTTGAATGTTGTGAAGAAACTCTAGGCAAAGCATGGCCAACACTGACCTCTTTTCAGTCAGTGGAATATAAAATAAATCACATTAGCCTTTTGTCAGCTCACTGACAGGGCTGTGGAAAATAAATTTCAATAAAAGCTGTGAAAGGACACAAAATTTCCTTGAAGTAACTGACCTTGTCTTGTCAAACGCACATTTTAGTCCCGTAGGTGTTGTGGGACTGTTTCACAGTCAATAAGAAAACAAGGTAAAAAGATATCACAGAAAAGATTGAGCAGAAAATTAAAGAGTTAGGAAAAACAGATATTCTTGCTCATAAAACCCACCGTGACTGATATTTAACAGTTAAAAATATATATTTTGGCACGCAAACCACACTCGTAATGAACGCTCTCTGTCAGGGAGTCCGTTAGGTTACTTGTGTAGGTTCACAGTGGCAGCATCAGCGAAGCTGTGGAGACGGAGGAGCGTTACGAGCGGAATAACAATCACCAGGGAGAAAATGATAAACAGAAATCAGCAGGGGGTGAAAATGAAATGAGGAAAGGCAAAACAGCTTCCAAAGTCTGCTGGATGTGTGTGTGCTGACGGCTCTTTGTGTCCTTAAAAAGAAGAGCTCATGCAGAGCCCGCTGAGGCAGACAGACTCAGGCTGCACTTTGACTTTGGTTGTTCAGTTCAGTTCAGACTGCTTTATTTATCCCCAAGAGACAATTCAGTTCAGCAGTAATCCAGATGTACATGCATCTGCACACACAAAGAACTATTAAGAGGAGATATGCACAACTACAAACAGGGATTAGCTCAATGTTTTAACCACTATGTGGTAGAGCCATAGGAGTGACCCAAAGCTGTGCCATCAGGGTTAAGCAGCCTGATGGCAGAAGGAATAAAAGAGTTGGTCTGTTTTCCTGCGTGGTGCTTTGAAGCAGAGGCTTTAAGGCTTCAGTATAAATTCAGAGGACAGGATTTTGTCCTGCCTGGGTACTAGTTCCCTGGCTTTGTGGAGCACCTGTTTGTCCCACAATGAATGCAGATGACTCTGCTGGACCCCTGTTACTTTGAAGTAGACCTTAACAATACTCTAAAAGCTGTTCATATCTTTTACAGACAGACCACTTAATCAACAAAATAAGTCAAAAGTTAAATACTTTCAATAGAAGACTGATAAAACACAATTTCCTTACAAATGTTAAGATTATAGCTTCCTCAATAAGTGGATTCTCTGTTGACATCGCATAGCAATACAATCCGTGTTCACAACAAATTTTAACTTGGAAATGAACACAGTTCCTAAATATTTGTGGAAATTCAAAATTCCATCCATCCATCCATTATCTTTACCCGCTTCTTCCATTTTGGGTCACGGGGGTCGCCGGTGCCCATGTCCATCAATCACTGTGCGAGGGGCGGGGTACACCCTGGACGGGTCGCAAGTCCATCACAGGGACACATAGAGACAAACAAGACAAACAACCATTCACTCTCTCACTCACACCTAGGGACAATGTAGAGTTACCAATCATACACATCTTTTTTTTTTTAACAATGACTTTAAGCTTCCCCTTGTTTTTTCCTAAAATTCATAAGCTCGTTTGTCTTACAGACATTAAAATCAAGGAAATTGTCATTGTAGCAGTCCACAAAAGCAGGAAGGACATTATTATGATCTGACTCTGAACTTTTAAGGGTTAAGTGTTGTGTTGTCAGAAAACTGGACCGGGTCGCTGCCTTTTTGTAAAAGACTTGTTGCTGTCTGTGTACAAAAATGTAGGGGTGAAAGAACACAACCCTGGGGTTTCCCTGCGCCAGAACGTCCAACATGTTTCCATTCACTAGTACACCATTTCTTGTCCATTAAAAAGCCTAAAAGCCAGCATAAAAGTTGTAGATAGAATAAAATCATGTAGAAGACGTGCCTGCATCTTATTAAAAGCAGAAGAAATATGTGCAAATAAAAGCCTAGCATGAAAATGGTATGGTAAGCAAACTGTAGGGGGGTCTAATTTATCGAACGCCAAGGAGACAACTCCTCTTAAACGTTTTATTTCACAGAGCCATTAAAGCAACATATCTGAAGTTTTTTAATTCCCGGGGTTGTTAAATTTTGGAATGGAAATTGTCGAGGTTTTCCAAACTGAGGGAAGCTACCAATAATAAGCACACATTCAAATAAGACCAGCAACAAATCTACAAAGCTGATGGACACATTTCAGCGTGCGCCCACAGATGACATTGGCATATTCCCTGTATTTATTTATTTGCAGTTTCTATTTGTCTCTTCCTGGAAAAAGGGCTTTTATTCAGCACGAGCAATGTTCTTCAGCACAACTAAGCTTCTTAGTTTATTTTTCCATCACATTCACACCTGAAGACTAAAAGCAGTCTGTGATTATTCACATCCTGAGATTTTAGGAAAAAACAAACTTTTTTTCTTCAAAACATTTATCAGAAGATTTGTCAAATCAAATTATTTAACCAAAAGTGTCATTGTGCGTTATTCTCAAATATAACTGAGTCACCTTACTTTGTATTTTAGTTCACCTCATTTTAGAAAATAACGCTGTATTTTACAGTACCGTACTTGCCGCCGTACACGTGGCACCGCCATATACGTTGCATCAATCCAAAAAGTCTAATAAAGTGAGAAAAAACATAAATAAGTCGCTTCGCCGTATAAGTCGCATCTATTATGCGTCACTATGATGCGTTGCATTTGTTACGCGTCACCGCTGACCACCCAGAAACATGGGCCTGAACTGTGGCAAAAATCGATTGGCTGCCAAATGGCGGCCATGGGAATGTGCACGGGAGAACTTTAACAAGAATTTAACAAGATTAACACTTATAAACAATTATTTGTTTGCTCGACATTATAGTAAAGGTGTGTCTCAGTTGAACTTTTCCTTAATAAATGCACTTTTATGGTCAAATCAGCTGCATTTCTTCTGGGTGGCGCGGCGAAATGCAGCTGATTTGATGTTTGCTTCAGGAGTTTCAGAGCGAGACAAAGTTGGCTTGGTATGGCAAGCCAAGTGTCTCATTAATAGCCACTTTTACCTATTAATGAGACACTTGGCTTGCCATACTGGTTGAGGGCCCTCTAGTGGCTGAAAATAGTAGTGTTCAATATTTTCCATGTCAGAATGAATGAAATCGTCAGATCTCAGTCAAAAATTGGGGTTTAAATATGGGGAGGAAAAAATGTATAGTTGCTTCGGTGTATAAGTCGCAGGACTTGCTAATTTATGCAAAAAGCTGCAACAGTACTTTTTAAACACATTTTAAAATGGAGCTGATTTCTTTACATGTTAAATAATAAGATATTTCAGTTTATTAGCAGCTTTACTGAGAAGAGTTTTCTTCTTTTAGCATATTTCACTTAAATTCGTTTTACTCAATGTTCAAATACTTAACAAGCAACTCCTTTTAACATTAGCATTATCTTGTCTGGTATATGTTGATTATTGCTCACCACCAGTAAAGGCAAGTGAAGTTTAACTGGGTTTGCAACAACAGATTCATTTTTGGAGTCAAGCTGATTCAAGATGGCTGCTAAAACTAATCAACCTTAGTAAATAAAAATGGCAATAATTCATTTAATTTTACACATATTGTGCTAATATTGAGAGCTATTTTTTATACAATTTGAGGCAAATCATTCAAGAAGTGATTTTTTTTTTTTTTACTGTTCAAGAACTTGATCTGAAGTTGTTGTTTTTTTTGTTTCTGTGGAGGCGTTCATTGAGACTGCTCTTATTTTTAATAAAGACTTACAGGTTTGTCTCTGTTATAAATGCAGCTGAGCAGACAAGAACATAACAAATATCCCACATTCTGGACTTGACTGATCTTGCATTGTGAGCCTTGACGCTTCAGTTGTTTCACAGAGTGGGAGGAATGTGCCGACATGTGTGCTGCCATCAGTAAAATATCATTTTGTACGTTGGAAAGCTCTCCACCTCATGCTGAGTACATGACTTTGAAACCATAAAAACTTTTCTATCCACTGAGGAGGCTGGACAGCACATGTATTTGTCTGAAGCAGCATCAAAGGGTTTCTTGATTTTATGGTCACTGGTTTGACTCTTGGACCATTAGCACAGGAAGTGGGTGGATGCTGGGTCTGTAGGTGGTGTGTTTTTTATTTATTTGCGCTGTCCTAGTTCTGCCATCTTTTCACCCATAACAAGGGTTTTAGGCTTGGATGTTTGACTTCCTCTCTTTGTACTTTGCAGGCATCCTCCTGATGATGGCGCTCTGCGAGCAGGTGCACGTGTACGAGTACATCCCCTCCACGAGGCAGACCGACCTGTGCCACTACCACGAGCGGTATTACGACTCTGCCTGCACGCTGGGCGCCTACCACCCCCTGCTCTACGAGAAGAGCCTGATCCAGCGGATCAACGCAGGCCCCGAGAACGACCTCAGGAGGAAAGGATGCGCGACTCTTCCAGGCTTTAGCACCGTTAACTGTGACGTCTGAAAATATGAAAGCTGACCCTCGTGAGCCTGAAGAGAATACACACGAGGGCCTTTTGTGGCTAACCGAGGGAAAGATGCAATAAAGCCGCTGTAGACAAGAAGGCTGAAGCTTACAAGTTTCAAATCAACCCATGAAGAGCAAAAGCCATAGCCCTCTGGGGAGGGATCAACCTAGCGATTGTCTAAAGACAGTGTCTTCATCAAAGATGGTTTACTTGACCAGAAACTGGAACGGATTTAAAAAGAAAAAAAAAAAATTATCTGCTTTAGCTGAGCCATGTTAGCTTTAGAGCTGACGAGGGTAGCAACAGATCTGTGTTTTAGATAGACGAGTGACTTCAATAACCTGGTGTGTATCAGTGTAGAACCTGTTCATGGAAGGTACTCCATTAAAAAGGAAATGCCACTGTTTATTTATTCAGATTACTTCTTTTCAATAGTTTGGAGTGGTGTAAATAAGTGTCAAAACTCCCACTCCGAATGTGACGAACACATCAGCAACTCAGAAGAATGCAGTTTTACAGGGAGATTGTCGAACTACCGCAGCGGTTGTTTTACTGTACAAAGTACATATCTTCCAGGTTGTGTCCTGTTCTCACTACTGAAACTGCTCGATTTAATCTTAAATTACTGTCCTGGGCATGCCAGCTGAATGCAAGTTTCTTCACGTTTTAGTTCCGGTGCAATTATGGAACAAGATGAAAGTAAATGGGGCCAAAAGGAAAAGGAAGCGGGTGCTCAGAACAGCCATAACGCCATGCCTGGAGGTCAGCTGAACACTTTTCTCGGGTTGCCTTGTGACTGTTCACACAAATGCAGTAACATACTGTGGCAGGACTGCAGTACCAGTCACTATGAATTACCAGCCCCTGAGCTTTTCTTTTCCTCTCAGTTCACTTTTTATTGAATGTAATGTCGCCCGTTTTGGCCAAACCCCGACTGAAGCTCACCTCTGCTGTGTTGTTAGCATACGTGCAGAGATTTATTAATTTTCTTGTGTAAGTGCATTTCTTACAACTGCATACATTCTAAAGGTCCTGACTCCTCTGGTATTAGTCTGTACCCATTCATGGCTCAGAGTGGAGGGCTTTCTAAAAGAGGGTCAGGAGTTTGTTCAGATTTGTCTCCCAAGTAAAATTATTTTCATGTTTTAATGGAGCCGGTGCCACATGAAGCAGTTAGCTGCAGAGGTGTTAGGTTGGAATAAAAAAAGAAGGCGTTTTTATCTTTGTGTCGACATGCAGTCAGAAAATATGAACTTATAACAGGTGATTTTTTTTTTTTATGTGTGGCATTGATGGCAGTTTAGTAACGTGAAAATGTTACAGAAGTTTTTCTCTAAATGTGAAAGTCATTTTGTTGTAGTAGGGTTGTAGAAAGAAGCTGTTTGTGGTTTTGACTCGGGCTGGGTGTTATACCACAAAACAACAAAAAAAAGAAAATCTTTTGATCAGCTTGCATTTATACAAAAAATACATCATTGTTTATACTTTAGGCATGGTTGATGCAATTTTTCATGACTTTTCTACATGATGTGTTGATATGTGTAAATGTTTTAAACGTTTTATTTTTGAGAAACTACACTGATCAGCCACAACATTAAAACCACAAAGCTGTTTCTATGCCTGAATGGTCAGAGCTGGACACTGGTCCTCTGTGTGTCCTGCAGTGTCCAGTTTGTGGACAACAGTGATCAGTTCTCTGGATGATGAGGATACACAGAACAGGGACTGCACTCTCCCTGAATTCGGTTAAATCATCTTCACGAGTAAATGAAAGCCTTTTCAGTCAGGCTCTAGTTTCATTTGTTTGCTAAGCAAACATTAAAGTGATCAAAGTAAATCTGTAAAGGAAAATATGTCTTACTTTAAGCAACAATACAAACAGTATTGCTTTGAATTCCTTCTGTTCTCACTCTGGAACAAAAAGAAACGACTGAATGTGCCTACTTTTGTTGTATGCACAGATGCCACTGTGATTTAACCTTTGCAATAACAAAAACATTTATATAACTATTCCTGCTGAGTACTGTTACAAACCGCTGGCCCCAAAAAAGTTAAATTAAACACACCAGTACCACCATTATTCTATCATCTGTAATATTTTGTGTTTTGCAATAGACAGCCACAACGTGTGCAAGAAAAACCAGGCTTCAATAACTCACCCCCTTAAAAAGCTACTTTTCTCAAAATATAATATGCTAATATTACATTTTTATAATCCTAAAAGTTTACTCAATTAAATTTAAAGCTAAAACCTATATTTATATTGGACCAATCAGGTTTTAAGTATCACCATCTTAACCATTTAACTCAGTGGTGTAGTCTACGTGATACGCTGGTACACGGCCCTCTAGAAGAGATTGGAAATTTCCGTATACCCACTTAAAAGTGTTCAATGATACGTGACATATCACTGGACATGTGTCATTGATATGGTAAACGGCAGTTAAACACTTCCGTAACGATCTGTCTGTATGCAGCGCTTGCTTATTACATTCACTTGTAAGGACCAGCACAAACTATTTGCTCCTCTCCGCTCCAGTATGACCACGATACTATTTGCCCAATGCAAAACGGAGCAACAAGCGTGCATAGAACTGGACCGGGCCAGAGCAAGTTTGAACTAGATGCAAGAAGTTAATTCTTTCCATGTGAGAAACAAAAACGAGCCATACGCTTCAAACTCCTACAATTAGTAAATTTACATTTTGTTTAAACGTTTGAGTTATATCAAGCAAAGAGTTAAACATCTGCTGGAAGTCTGGCTTCCTTTCTTTGACTATATGAATATTATATCTTATTTTCCTGCTGTGGGAAGAAAATAATGGTTCTGATCAAATGGTTTTTTTTTTAAATAATAATTTTAAAAAGGGATATTTAGATAATTATTGCCATTTTTTGTTGAATGTTGTAATTATGATATCTGTTATAAAAAAAAAACAGATTATTATCATTTCTCTTTTTAATTTAAAATTAAAACACCGTTCTTTAGTATTTACATCACTATCATCTCTATAAGCTGTGGGCGTTTAGGCCAGTATGGGTCCATCAAGCAGCGTCCAGTTTGCATCTGCAGTTCACTGCAAGTTTAACGTTGCGACATGTTTCCTTTGTATTGCTCATCTCAATCCAGAGCCACAAGTTCTTCAGCAGAATTTCATCTTTTAGATGGAGCATTCTTCACGTCTCCATCCGTGGGTTTTAACTTTGCGGCTGATCAGCGTATGTGCAATAATGTGTACTAGATTAATCACATGATTAAAGACTAATTCAGTGAATTATCTCGACGGCAACAGTACTTCATCACATTGATGCAACTTCTTGTGACTCAGATTATTGCCGTGAAAGCATTTCCCACAGTGAGACATCGACGATACATTACCGGACTCTGCTGAGGCGTCTCAGCACATTGTAGAAATGTATCCCTGTTGGTACACTTGATAAACAATTGTTAGATTAAAGATGTTTTGTAAATTTTTTTTAAAAGAATAATAAAAAAAATAAGGTTTAATACCCAGCTCCAGTGAGTTAAAGACCAATAGACTAAAGATCCTCGGAAAGTCTGCAACAAAACTGAAGAGAACGTTTCTGGTGTCTAAAATGAGATTTGAGGATTATCCTAAAGTATTTGGGGCTTTTCAGTTCTGCTGCAGGCTTTACATCTCCACTGACATGAACCCAAACTGTTTCAGAGCTTGTGATTGTAGCGCACTGTAGGTGCAAAAGCCCTGAACGTATTGAACACGTGCAGTTTATATTTGAGGACTTTCCGATGCACAGAGCATGCACATCAGGATCAGGACTGAGTCTTAAACTGTGCCGCGATCGTGCGGCGAGTCGTTGTCGTTCCAGTCGTAAGAGGTGACCGTGCTTGAATTTTCATTTTAAAGTGACGTATGAAAATGTTTTTGCATGCTCGTAGACCACATCCAGCTGCAGTGTAGCTCTCAGTTGTTTTTAATCTGAAATAACTCCATTAAGTGTGATAACTTCATGAATCTGGTATTTTTTTTTTTGCATTTTTTTTTTTTTTATTGTGCCAAATTATGTCTTTAATTCTGTATTAGCTGGGTAGTTTAAAGCAGGATGTGGAGTCTGAGTGATTTCAGGAGGACTGTTGCTCCTCTCTGGGATGCCTAATGTCAAAATAAGTTGATTTCCCTGTCCTTTTGAAGATGGCAGTTTTATTTTTTATTAGTATTATTTACTGGAAGAGTGTTGATGATGGTTAAGTATTAAAATCATGTTAATAAAATGTTCCTCGTTTTCCCCTAGTCTCTTGAGATCTATTGTCCATGTTTTGTTTTTATTAAGTATGGTGGGAATTTGTGTACCACACTGCCTCAGAAGGAGCGTTCAGCCGCTGATTGGTTGTTTTCATCTCGTTCCTGCAGCAGCTTCCTGCAGAAGTCAGTCCTGCTTCACTCCCAGCAGCCTTACTTAGAGAGTGTTTGCGTTTAAATTTTTCAGTAACTCCTCTTCTTGTCACATTTGAATTGATATTTAAATGATCCATTTGTATGATTTCAGTTATGTCCTTTTTTTACTGTGTAAATAAAACTTCTACATGCCAGCGTGTTGATTTGTAAAATGTTTTTTGATACCAAGCAAAACGGTTCATTTACCTGTTTATTCATAAGTATGTAGATAAGAGGGTTGATGACGGTGCTGCTTTTGGCCAAAAGAGAGGGGACCACGCTGGCCACAGGACTAATAATGTTGGGGGGGCCAAATGTTGCCATCATGGCTACAACACCGTAAGGCATCCAGCAGAGCAGGTAGCAGGCTGCGGTGGTCAGAATCATAAACAGGATGTGGAACTCTCTCTTCCTGGCTGCGCTCTTTCGGACCTTCCCTACCTGTAAAGACAGAGATAATACAAGTTCAAGAAACATTTATGTTGGTTCTTTAAAGAAAACAACTGTTCTTCAGCATTTGTCTCCACTTGAAGTATTCTTAATCTGACTTTTGTTTTATTTATTGGCTTCTTACAAAATCTAAACTGAGAAATCAAGGCCACAGTTTCAAACCATGTTAGTGAAATGAGAACGTTGTTCAAACTGCAGCAAATATTTTATTCTTAATTTGATTCCCCCCACCCAACTCCCCAAAAACAATAAAGTTAGTCCCAGAGTTTGTCTCACATGGCTACATTTTTTGGCGACTAGTTGGAGACAAACCTTGTGTGAACACATTTTAACTTCAGATCACTCTGGATGAAGTCTGCACAAACTCGGAGAACTGTGGGCCAGAATTCATTAGGAGTTTGCATACATACCGCCAAAAAATGTGACATGGAAATGCATGTTTCAAACCTAGAAAAATAATTCCACGTCAACACAAATAATTGTATTAATTATAGCTACATAAAAGCAATAAATAACATGAAGGACAGCTTTCTCTAAGAAAAATAACTCAAGCCCAATACATGCTGTTTGCCACATTGAACAGCAGAAAGTCCAGAAAGAAGTCAATGAGTTCAAAGAAAACCTTGATGTACTGGTTAAGATGTTTACAGGCTGGTTAGAGCATTTATCAAAAGAAATGAAAGGCAGCCTGAGCAGCAGAACAGAGCAGGAAAAAAAGAGTGGTGCAACTTCAAACAACAAAAGAAACCAAGCAGAAGATGTATGAAGGGAACTAATGAACTAATGAAGTGAGTGGCAATAAGCAAATAGAAGTCAAGTGAGACAAGGTCAGGAGTAAAACTAACAGAGGTAGACAAAGAAACATTACCAATAAAACACAAAGTTAACACTAAGACAAAATAAAAGAACAGCAAAACAACATTATAAACATATTTGTTTAGTTAATAAAAGCACTTTCCTTACCTACATACTTACCCATAAACTAATTACCAGTAATAAGCTTTATTAATTAGGATAACTTCATTTGGATCCACTTAATGCAGGGGTGCCCCCACTTTCTCAGCCTGCAGGTCCTTTTAAAATGACCAAGTCAAAGTGATCTACCTGCTATAAGGCCCCGTTTACATGAGAACAATCTCTGGAAACGTTAGTGATTTTTCAGTGTTTATTGGGGTAATAAACAAAAAATGAGTGGGTTTACACAAAAAACGCTGTAGTTTCCATGTCAGTCAGGTTGCCAGATAAGAAATATTGAACTATAGTACTGTCACTTTAAAATTATAGTATTTTGATCTAAACCATGCTGAGTAAAAGTATTCTAAGATGAGGTGTGTACTGTGTTTGTGGAACATGTGCACAGAAAAGGAGGGGGGTAAATAAGACATTTTAAATTTATCTGGCAACCCTGATGCCAGGCTCAGCTGCATTCATTGTGCATTCAATTCAATTCAATTCAAAAATACTTTATTAATCCAAGAAAGAAATTATTTGTTGTTGTAACTCGTTATCCTCATTTCATTAAGAGATGTTATAGATACTGATGGCTGTAGACAGGAAGGATCTGGGATCATGCAGCATCTGCATGATTAAAGTTATGTCCAATACTGATGAATACACAAATGTCTCTTTGGACCAGTGACGTGCAGTCAGGGGAGACATCATGACAAGTAAAATATTAACCATGATAAGAGAAAATACATTTGACCACTTGACTGTTTTATATAACTGTTTTTCTGAATTACAGTAATCCCTGTGTATCGCAGTGAATCTGTACCCTGAAGCCCCACGTTAAGTAAAAAAACATGAAGTAAGAATAGTAGT